GACAGACTTCGTTCCCTTAAGAGGATTCACAACCCCTCTTTTCTTTGCATTATTGAACCTAAGGTCTCTACTTCACAACTACCTGACTACAGCCTCAAGTTGGGTTTTCCCAGTCATTTGTCTTCTAACAACAATAAAAGATGGATGTTTTGGGACCCCAACCAACTTCTATTCATTAGTGTTGAGGACGAAGATCAGGTTTCTCACTGCCTCTTCTCCCTCCCTAATTCCCCGTCCTCCACCATTCTTATCTCTAGTATTTATGGCTCTCATACGGTGGTGGGACGCCGGAATTTATGGAGAAACCTTCAACACAAAAGCAGCATTTCCTCGTGTTGGGTGGTCGGGGGGGATTTTAATGTGATCTCCTCCCTTAAGGAAAGCAAAGGTCAGATTTGCCCAAACACTGAAGGCATGAATGAATTTAATTCTTGCATTGAATCCTGCAATCTTATATGCCCGGAACCCTCTGGAGGTCTTTTTACTTGGAGTGGAATTAAAAGCTCTGGGAAACTTTGGCGTAGGCTTGATCGTATTCTGGTTAACGTTTCCTTCCAATCCATCTTCAACGAATTTGAGGTACAACATCTCCCTAGAGCCTGCAGTGACCAAAAAGCCCTCCTTCTTTCTTGCTCGGTCAGGAGTGATAAAGGCCCATCAGCTTTCAAATTTCTAAACCCTTGGATCCACAACACAAAATTCTTTCCAGTTGTCAAGGAATGCTGGACCAAAAGCCCTACTGTTGGCGGTATGCATGGACTTGTAGCCAAACTCAAGGATCTCAAAACATGTCTCAAGGCTTGGAACAAGGATGAGTTCGGTCATATTTTCGATAACCTCAAGAATGCTGAAATTTACGCCACTACCACCCAGCAACTTTACGAAGATAACCCTGTTGAAACACGGGCTTGTCACGTTGTAGTACTAAAGCCGTGTTCGTTTTTGTAACAGGTTTTGATAATGCCAAACCGTCGTGATCAAGTCAAACATTGAATATACAAGGCGAAGAATGAAGATAAGAGCAAGAGCTAAACGAAGACCAAGAACGAAGACCTTAATCATAGTATTGAGTCGGTCTTTATTGTGATCAAGACCGACCCAATCTTTACACTTTGGCTCTTTAGGCTAAAAACTCTCATTGCATTTCATACATCATAAAAATGGTTTTAAACTTGTTTAAGTCATTAAAAAAACGCTTGGTGTTCGCCCAAACCAAAAACCAAGCCATCCAGTGTTCGGCTTTCAGAAACCAGCGTTCGGCTTTCGGTTGTCGGGTTTGGTTTTTGGCATCCGAACCAACCAAGTGGTTTTCAGCATTTTATGATCTGCTTTCACTCTTTGGCATGTTTAAACGGTTCTCCAACAAAAACACCTTGAAAACCATCTCTCGCTTTTAGTCGTTTGACAAAAACCACGCAAAAC